AAGATAATTTCAAAATTAATCTAGATAAAGATAAGATGAATAAGAATTTGCCTAATCTAGATAAGATAACGATGCTCGTGCATTATCTTTTAATAGTTACTGATCTTACCCTAACCCCAGGTTCGAAGTGAACTTGACAGATCTTAGGGCAAAGTGGCAACGTTGCAATCCCAGCATCAAAACAAAGTTTCCGCCTAAATTTAAAACAAAAAAATGACGAATGATCGGATCGTCGCAAAGCCTAAACATGCCGCATTCTCGCAAAAGCAGCTTGCCAAGGGGCGACTAAAGAAACACCTCGGCATCGAATAAAACCCAAATTATGTTAATCACAAAGCGAATTAAAACACCAAACACCTAAGCAGAACTCCTGGCTTAATTAACAAATGATGGACGGAGTTTCAGTAGCAGGAGACATTTTATGCGTAAAATATTCGTTACGACATGTCGGGGACTTTTCTTTAATCGTTGCTAGAAGGCAACTCACTCTTTAGTTAGTCATTGGATGATCAACCTTTGTTATTTGTTAGATTTGGGTCAGCGTATTCGGTAGGTTACTCTGCTATTTCACGGTTATATTGTTAAGGATTGGGCTGGCATGGTTGCCTGTTAACCCGTAGCGCAGTTAAGATTGTTAGAGACAACTCATTCATGCGTTTATTGATGTAAGTCACCTTATTAGTAGGGGTTGAAACCTATATGAAATGGGTTCAGAGATTTTCGGTTTCGGTTCCGGTTCCAGTTTTTTTTCGGTTCTTAAGGGTTCCAACATAAATAAATAATACACAAAGTTAAAGTGCGAGAGGTTCCACTCTGTATATACAACTTACGGCGATGCACACATTTTTGAGAGTTGGCAACCCCACAACTTTTAGGTGAAGATACAGTGACTTGGTGAAGATAGTAATCTAGGGACTTTAGGTGAAGATAAAGTCCCTAGATTACTAGGTGAAGAAAGCTGTTTGCGCCATCTGGCGAGCACGAATGTTTGTTACGTCTATAATGGCGGTCGCGTTTGCAATTCTATATTCGTATTTGTGTTTGTATGCACCATTTTATATCTTTGTGAGTTTCAATGTCATCATTTAACCTTAATGCAGAATCACATATTTGATACCGTTATCCTTTTGTTTGTAATCGTTTACGTTTTTGGTGTAATGCTTGTTAGAATTTTGTTTCGCATTCACTGTACAAATTTGTTTTGATTTTTGCTATAGTTCTAATACTTATTAATTAATGCCCTTCGATATCACTAACGCTCCTGCAACTTTTGCATATTAGTTTCATTAAACTCCGGCAAAACCCTCAACAAAAGCACATACTTCCAACATCTACACGTTCTCCAAAATACTCCTCTCCTAGGAATATTGCTAGAAATATTCTTGGCAACCTTTCGTGCTCTAAATTTCCACGGCCAGAAATAGGGGGAGGAGGGGGGGTACGAAGAAATCACTCTCTTCCAAGCCTTTCTTCTAAATTGTAAAGGGAGAATATTCCAAGAGCGAACTTTCGTGGGGCAAGTTTCCGAAACCAGTGTACTTGGAGGGGGAGGGAGATGGGGAAGATGTCCTTTAGCGTTCAAGGAAAATTCACTCTTCGTTTCGTGAGTGTGTTTGAATGCAATTGAAAACCATGTTTGTTACGAATGCATTTCGGTATCACTAATGCTCCTGCAAACTTTCGTTCAAACTTTTGTATCAAAAAGGCATAATGCGCATGTGCGAGAAGGTGTTTCTGCTCCTAAATCACGAAAATGTAAATTGTCTCTGACTACCAGGAGCACATAATCCATACAGAGGTCCGTTTCTGTGCACTGAAGTGTACCAAGTGAGTATAATGGGCATATGCTAGGTGTATCTCCTCCTAATTCACTGCTTCTCTTTTACGAAATTGTGGTAAATTTTTAGCTGACTACCAGGAGAATATAATCCATGTAGAGGTCCTTTTCTGCACACGAAGAATTTTCGTTCAAACTTTTGTATCAAGAGTGTATAATGGGTATGTGGCTATGTGCGAGGAAGTGTTTCCGCTCCTAATGCACTGAGTCTCTTTTAGGAAAATGTAAATTTTCTTGGACTAGGTACCAGGAAAACATATTCCATGAAGAGGCCCTTTGTGGACATACAAGGGATTTTCCTCGGGATTTTCGTTCAAACTTTTGTATCAATAGGGTATAACAGGCCAGTGCGAGGAGGTGTTTCTGCTCCTAATTCCGAGAGTATCTAAGAAACTTTTGTATCAAGAGGGCATGTGCGAGGAGGTGTTTCTGCTGGTAATTCACTGAGTATCTTTTAGGGAAGTCTAGTACATTTTTTCTTTTGTATCAAGAGAGAATAATGGGGATGTGGGAGAGGAGATGTTTCTGCTCCTAATTCAGTGAGTTTCAGATAGGAAAGGTTTTTTTTTGTCATTAGGATCCAAAGTTTACGGCGAAACACTGTTCAGGAGTTTCAAATTTTTGAGTGTTTGTTATAACAACATAAGGTTAGTTAAGCCCATCACACAATGAATAAAATAAGGAATAAGAAATAAGGAATAACAATTTTCAATCTACTGATCTTTATGGATTTGCACACAACACTGAAATATGAAATAAGCCTTGAGATGCCCCAACCTTAGCAATGTCCTGTGAATATGATTGTCGATACGAAGCACCACAAGCTGCCAACCGAAATCTGGTGGGATTACAGAAAAGGGAAAGAGAGCGAAGATGAGACGGTTGGAATTTCGCGGAAGACCACATGTGTTTACAATTTTAAACACCTGCAGTCCACTTTTTTCTTAGAAATGCGTGAAATGCAGGGAATGGGCGATTTTCGGGTGGTTTTTAGGGGTATTAGCAGATCAAATTACCGCGTGGCTTGGGTTGGTCAAATAAATAGGATTTAACATGTGTGTTCATGGTCTTTGTCTTGTAACCGGCTGAAGTGTAAAGTACGGCTTGTCTTGAAATATTTTGTTATACCTTAATCATTGCTGTGTGCTTTTGCTTTTTTATATCAGGTGAGGTATTTGCTTTATTCAATTAATCTATAAATGTGTGTAACTTGAATGCAGCTTGTAACCCTTTACTTATGTACTTACTGAATTCAATCACTTGTACCTTTAATGTGTAACCTCTGTTGGTATTGGCAATCATGTTTCATTGTCGGTAGGGCTGTATCTGTGCTGTACATACTTGCATGTGTACATATTTAATTTGTGTATTGTGCTTTTTAGTCACTCTCGATTATTTCATTGTATTTCATTATATTTGCTTATTTGGGACTGTGAGTAATCAAGAGGGAAGTGTGCTTGTTTAGAGGGGATCGAGCTATTCAAGTTTATACGGCCTTGGTGAACCTAACACTAACATTTTCACTCGTTCCGAACCCAACAACTTTAGCCCAGGACTACAGGGTCTCCACTGGTCCTGGGTAATCCTCCCGCCCGGCGAGGTATATTTGACATCTCTTAGTTTTGTCCGATGTATGTGTTGTAATACCTGGGGAATGGTTCGATCCCATTTTGGTTACTCATCGCGTGTTTGTAGTAGTTACCCCGGTTTCGAGAGGGCTCAAAAGTGCTGTACATTAGATGTTGTTCATTATAGGACTACTCCGAATTAGGTTTTGCTGCAGTTTTCCTAATTCGTAAGGTAAATGCCGGAGTAGTATAGAACCACTTAAGACCCTCTGCAGGGGCACCGTTTTGGTATTAGCTGCAATATAAACTTAATCAACTATTGCTTTTGGTGTCCCTTACCCATAAAACGCCCTCAGTGCCTGCTGAGAACCCAGTTATTACACAACGTAGGTGTCCTACATGACGATCACGATCTTAGTGCACTCAGGGTGACCCCGAGTGACAGATTTTCGCGGAAAACTTAAGCGAGAATATTCAAATAGGCAGCCAAGCCATGTTAGTTTGGCATTCCCGCTACTAAAGAATATGGTCCAATATCCCGGTGTGACTTGAAGTTGGCGTTATCCCGCCGAGATAGGAGGCTAATATCATCACAATATCAAATTTTGTGGCAAGAAATTCCATGATTAATAGTTAGTACAAGAAAGAATAAAATGGTTACTACCTGTAATTACACCTTCAAAACACCACAACCAAAATAATCAAGAATAAAAACCGGGAACGCGTGATGCCTTCCGTCGACCCCGTCGCCATCTTCTTTCTTTCGCCACGCAGGCCACGCCACGCTTTTTTCCCCTAGCTTCGTTACGAAAATCCCCTAGTATTCGGCATTTGCGCAAAACGGTCGATTGGTTATATACAGAGCATATCATATTTTTGTTTCAGATGTAAAGGTGTGTTGCCTAATCATAAGGGTGGATTATCCATGTTTTCTGAAGAAATTAAGCAGCCCAAGAACAAAAACGTAATGGACAGGCGAAGTAAACAAGCGAAATTAGCACCATATCTCAACGATGATCGGCTGTTATGGAAACATCTCGTGAAACCCCCCTTAAGACAACCAAATCTGAGGACCGTCTTGCATTACCTTCAAGACTACCCACTGCAAAATATTCCAGGACTCCAGGCCGAACTAAATATATTGAAAACTGATGGAAAATTCGCAAAATGTGTATATTGGCAACACACTATACACTTCAATCGTGGTTACATGTAAACGGTACAGTTATGATAGTTTAGTTGCCTATCATCTGCACCGTGGTAACCAAACGCTCACAATTGACTTTCTTCACACGTAACGATTGCAATTTACGTGAAGGTACATTCTTTTACGAAACGGAGTTTTTCCAATTTCGCGAAAACGCGTGTTCGCGATATACAAACAACGACATCGACACGTATTTTGCAGAATGCGAGGTCAAACCTTCCCCCTTTCGAATTGTCCGTACCTGTCGCAATCCGCAAGAAACGCGCCACGGCGCTTTCGTTCAATGCGAGCAAGAGAAACGGCGCATGGCGCGGTAGTAGTTTTCGTCGAGGATTGACCTTACCTCATGGCATTCATTAATTCTGAATCACTTCGTCGCCAGCTGCTAGTCGAAAAGGTGACCGCTTCCGGAAATCTTCCCCCGATTGACGAAAAACCCCGACGAAGACGATCCCCGAAATGAGTATCGAGCTGTAAACTGTGTCGGTTATCAGTCGGTAATTCCCGGCGAGCTCATCTTTTCGTTGATTTCACCTTTACCAATTAACCTTGGCGAAATCCCCCACATGACTTGAAACATTCTCCAAGATACCTGTCCTACCTGTGAATTGCGCTACGTGGATAGGCGGTCGTTGAAGTCTCCAACAAATTTCTCAAAAAAAAAAGAAACAACACACACCGTGACTGACGATTTGGAAATTGCGCGATTTGAATTACGCGCCGTGATTTTTTCGAGATTTAGTGATCGCGCCCCAAAGTGTCGGTAATTGGTGCACGCATTGGAATTAAGGTGTGTTAATCGAATGTGCAGTGAATAAATATGTGCTAAGTGTCGGTGGATTGTTTTTCGGACCCAAAAGCGAAGGCGCGATGAGGTAACAGCTTTTTTTTCACGCCGCTCCATTAACGATAATTAGCAATTAACGATCAACAATTCGAAAAATTCGATGATATCGCGCGCAGGAAAAAAAGATCGAATCGAAGAAGGCACCACGCTCGAGCGACTTCCGGCCATACATAAAAAAGAATTCGAAACGGTCAGGCAAAGAACTGGGCCGGCATTACATTTGGCGATTTCACGGGAAAAACGAATTGAAAATCCTGTTAGTCGTCAAACTCGAAACACCAAACTGGGATCGGAATCCGTTTACAGTTAGAAAACGTTTTCTAAATGCCGATTTAGAAAAGGCAGCGCGGTGCCTTTTTGAGTTTGAATTTTCGCATTGGTGGTGCCCCATTTAAATGTAAATTTGTGAATCTCGTCCGGTCTTCGATCGATAATTGCGAAAATATTTACAAAAATATTTCGAAATCGCGCGGGCCCGGCCGTCTATTGACTATTGTTATTAGCTTTAATTTTAAACAAACATTTTATTTGTGCCACTTTCGAAGGCTGCACTTAGGCAAATTAAGTATTTTCTAGTAATATCGAGACCATTCTAAAAACGGACACAAATTGACATTTTGTAATAATTTTGGGCCAATGGAATTCGAAATTCTAAAATACAGATTCATCCGGATAGGGATTTTGAAAGATTTGGGCCTTTTGAATGGAAATAGTAACACTTGACGAGATCGTGTCAAAAAATTTATATTTTGCCTTAACTGTTTGAAGATGGCACTATCAAAGGGACAATATAAGGTCTGGACGAGACGAAAGTGAAGTGTCGGTACTTTATTAAACTTTACTTGAAATATTTCGATGCAATTCCGTTCACTTTTCTTGAAATTTTTTCCCAATGCTTTGAAACTTCTCCTTTGAAACTTCATCCAAACTAGCTTGAAATTTCTTAAACTTTCTTGACACGCTTCGTTCAAAAATTTTCTAAAATCTTGATATATTTTAGAAGTGTTTCATTTCAACTTCTGTAGCACTTTTTTGGATCATCCGTGGGTCTTAATTCAAGTTTTGAAACTATTCTTGACAAAATGTCAAGATATTTGCAAGGAAAGTTCGAGATGACGTCAAAAAAATCTTGAGAAATGTCACGGTTTCCAAGAGATACCTATCTCAAAAAAGTTTTACAAATTCTAATTTCTCCTAGATACTTTAAAATTTTCTCGAGTTTCTTGAGTGTAGCCCGCGGTGTAATCTTTTCTTAAATAAGAACACAGCAGAAATTGGGCGAGCCGGGGCCATCTAAGGCTGCATCTCTCGCTGCATCCTTACATGGACCTACGATAAATTCGGCTCACCCTCTCCTAGTTTATTTTCAAGAATCATGGGATTTGTTTATGGCCTTAGATAATGCAGCCTTCTAATATAGATAGCACGATTTATGCCGAACTCGCCTTCGGCTCGCTCGGCATTGGTATAGCCTTTTTTCACTGGGAAAAAATTACGCGGCAGAAATTGGGCGATCTAAGGCTGCATCTCTCGCGCATTTTTTTAACCGAAATAGATTTTTTTTTGACATCACTATTCGATATATTTCTTGCAGACGTCTCAATTGCCCTTTGTGAGTACCATCTTCCGACAATGCGTTCTTGAGGTATAAGGGAATATACCCGATCACGATAAGAGATCGAGGAGGAAGGCTATGGTTGGTAGAAATTAATTCCTTTCGTTGAGACCTTTCATTAGAGTACCATGAAGGATAAAACTAGTTCCACTCTACTCCGCCCCATACGTTGACTTTGATAAGAGGACAGAAAGAAGGGCAGTGGTTAGTAGAAAACGGTTCCTTTCGTTGAGACCTTTAATTAGAATACAATGAGAGATAAAATTAATTTTTACCCCCCCCCCCCCCCATTTTTTTTTAATTCTTAAAAAATGCGTGTCCGAACTCACTTCTGCCGTTTCGAACTACTTCTAGGGGAATGGTCTTAGTCCGGATTTTTTTGCAGTAGATGGCCTATTGAAGGTGTGCCAGACGGCCATCAAATTTCGCTGTCTAAAAGCCCCCCCCCCCCTGCGAATTATTTCCTGACATGCTGTTTTTGAAAGTAAACGTGCATAACTTTTACATACGACAACCAATAAGGTCTCAGATTTTGCATACGCATGCCTTTAGTGGTTCCAAGTTAAACTTTAGAAAATTGGGGGGGGGGGGAGTTAACACATGTTATACCCTTCATGGTATTCTAAATTAATTTGATCTCTCATTGTATTCTAATTAAAGGTCTCAACTCAACGAAAGGAAACGTTTTCTACCAACTATACTGCCCTTCTTTCTGTCCTCTTATCAAAGTACGGAATGGAGGGGAAGGGGTGGGGGAGTGAACTAGTTTTATCCTTCATGGTACTCCAATGAAAGGTCTCAACGAAAGGAATTAATTTCTACCAACCATAGCCCTCCTCCTCGACCTCTTATCGTGATCGGGTATATTCCCTTATACCTCATGACCGGATTGTCGGAAGAGGGTACTCATAAAGGGCGATTGAGACGTCTGCAAGAAATATATCCATTGGTGATATCAAATCAAAAGCTATTTCGGTTTTAAAAAAATGCGCTTTATCTGCACAAGAGTTGTGCACAATTTATACTTGTTTTAAAGATGCCATCGCACTTTCTTTCTATAACCTTAGACAATGGGGTCCTCGATGGGTCCTTCTAATATAGAAAACACGATTTATGCCTTTAATGAGAAAAAATCACACAGCAGAAATTTGACGATCTAAGGCGCCATCCTCACATGGACCTACGATTGCCGAGCGAGCCGAAGGCGAGTTCGGCATACATTCGGGTCATCATGGTCTAGTTTTTTTTAAGGAATGACCTTACATAACTCGCTTTGGGCTGGCTTGGCATTGCCCTTTCTCAAACCAAATCACACAGCAGAAATTGGGCGATCTAAGGTTACATCCCTCGCTGCACCCTCACATACATTTACGAATGAGTGCCGTCGTAGGCGAGTTCGGCATAAATCGGGTCATCCCAGAACCGGGCGGTTTTGTTTATGTGACCTTAGATAACGCCGATTTTTAGTATAGAAAGCACGACTTATACCGAATTCGCCTTCGGATTCCTCGGCATCGGTATAGCAATGGAAAAAAATCACACAGGAGAAATTGGGCGTTGTAAGGCTGCATCACTCGCATTCGGCTCGCTCGGTATAAATTCGGCTCTCGCTCGCCTAGTTTTTTTAAACAATCAGGGGATTTTGTTTCTATACTTTAGATAAAGCGACCTTCTAATATAGAAAGCACGATTTATGCCGAACTCGCCTTCGGCTCGCGCAGCTTTGGTATAGTAGCTCTTCTTTAATGAGAGAAAAATCACACAGCAGAAATTGGGCGATCTAAGGCTGCACCTTTACATGGGCTCGCGATTACCGAGCTCGCTCGGCACAAATTCGGCTCGTCCTCGCCTAATGTTTTTCGAGTTTATTTCAAGAATCGTGACATTTTGTTTCAATAACGTTAGATAGTGCGGTTTTCGGGGCGGTCTTCTAATACAGAACGCACGATTTATGCCGAACTCGCCTTCGGCCCGTTCGGCATTGGTATAACCTTTTTTTAATAAGAAAAAAATCACACCGCGGAAATTGGGCGATCTAAGGCTTCATCTTTACATGGTTCTACGATTGCCGAACTCATCTTCGGCTCGTTCGGCATAAGTTCGGCTCAACCACGCCTAGTTTTTAGCGCATTTTTTATGAATTAAAAAAAATGCGCTATTGTTTGCGTTTTGTCCGCCCGTCTGTCCGTCCGGACCCACTTCTACCGTTTTGAACTATTTCTAGACGAATGGTCCTAGAGTCCTGGAATTTTTTGCAGTAGGTAGCCAATACCTTGAAGATGTGCCAGACGGCCATTAAATTTAGCTGTCTAAAAGGGGGGCCCCCCACGAATTATTTCCTGAGATGCTGTTTTTGAAAGTAAAACGTGCATAACTTTTACATACGACAACCAATTGGTCTTAGATTTTGCATACGCATGCCTTTAGTGGTTACAAGTTAAACTGTAGAAATTTGGGGGGGGTAGACACATGTTCTACCCCTCATGGTATTCTAATGAAAGGTCTCATCGAAATCACTAAGCGACGGGGCCAGAGGGGGGAGGTTAAAAATTTATTTTATCATTGGATTCTATTAAAGGTCTCAAGGGGGGGAGTGGAACTAGTTTTATCCTTCATGATACTCTAATGAAAGGTCTCAAGGAAAGGAATTAATTTATACTAACCATAGTCTTCCTCCTCGATCCCTTGTTGACTGTTGTGATCGGTTATAATTCCTTATATCTTAAGAGTGAATTGTCAAAGGAAAGTACCTACAAAGGGCGATTGGGACGTTTGGAAGAAATATAACCATTGGGCATTTAAATAAAATTTGATACATAGCCACTTGGAATAAAAGCAAATGTAGCGCCATTTTCCAAATTTGGTTTTGTGTAGGATGTGCAGTGCCAACTTTCTTATTTATGGAAGAAATTTCATAGGGGTGTTTAAAAAAATGCGCTTTAGCTGCACAAGGGTTGTGCAAAATTTGTACTTGTTTAAAGATATGATCGGTCCTTGTTTCCATAATTTTAGATAAAGCGGCTTTCCAATACCGAAAGCACGATTTATGCCGAACCCGTCTTCGACTTGCTCGGCATTGGTATAGTAGCCTCTTTTTAAAGTAAAAAAAAATCACAGTAGAAATTGGGCCCCTCGCCTAGTGTTTTTTGAGTTTTTTTTAAGAATCGTGGAATTTGGTTCTATAACCTTAGATAATGCTGGTCTTTGGGGCGGTCTTCTAATACAGTACGCGAGATTTATGCCGAACTCGCCCGCCTTTTGCTCGCTCGGTTAAATTCGGCTCTCCCTGCCTAGTTTTTTTTAAACCATCAAAAGATTTTGTTTCTATACTTTAGATAATGCATGACTTATGCCGAACTCGCCTTCGGCTCGCTCGGTTTTGGTATAGTAGCTCTTCTTTAATAAGAAAAAAATCGCATAGCAGGAATTGGGCGATCTAAGGGTGCATCTTTACATGGGCTCGCGATTGCCGAGCGAGCCGAAGACGAGTTCGCCATAATATCGGCTCACTCTCGCTGAGTGTTTTCGCGTTTTTTTAAGAATCTGACCATTTAAATCTGCGACCACAATTGCCGAAGCCTTAGAACATCCCATAAGTACTTTCTATAGTTTTAGTGTTTTCCTAAAATTCCCTAGTCGATTCTACAGCTTTTATTGTGCTTTCCGAGGCTTGCCCGTAAGCGGCTGGAAAAACGCTGGATTACTCTGAAAAAATCCCATCCCGACCTTATTCTAAGTATGGGTAGATCTCGAGGTAGATAGAATTCTTGGTCACAATTCCAAAGGCTTTATTACGTAGTCTCGGGCTCTATTTGTCTGAGGCCCCCTCAGTTGCAAAATTATAACCTCGCCGAAATCCAAGGAAAGGATATAGCCTATGCACATCCAATCACCATAGAATAACTAATTACGTAACGATCTGGTAAATAAGTCAAGATAATAAAATTTATTGGTCCATTAAAGCCACATTCCTCAAACGTGGAAAATCTTCTAATGACGTTCGCTCGGCTAATTCTAGCTTCATTTGAATTTCTGCCATCCTCTCTTCTTGTAATTTCTATTTCTTTGCGCTATAATTTTTGAACTAATTTGTTTACATTTTGTCCGCCCGTCGGTCTGTCCGGACCCCTTTTTCCGGTTTTGAACCACTTTTAGGCGAATGGTCCCAGAGTCCTGAAATTGTTTGCAATAGGTAGCCTTTACCTTGAAGGTGTTCCACACGGGCATCAAATTACGCTGTCTTAAGTTGGGGAGGGGGGGGGGGCATGAATTATTTCCTGAAATGTTGATTTTGATAGTACCGGGCGAGGTACCGGGTGACCCAATAAGACTGTTCCTCGGCCATCGTTCGTCGTATGATGTAGGGGTAAAATTATTGGGTAAATCGGTTATGAAGAATCGCTGGAAAATATTTTCAAGTTCTAAAAATGACCACCAGAGGGCGTAACTGCCATTTTAAATTTTAAAATTGCATTTTCTTTAAATTTCGCATAATAAACTAAACATTATTTTTTCACATTTTTAAAAAGAATCATTTTCGTAAAAACAAAAACTCAGTTATTTCAAAAACAAAGATGGCGTGGGGCGTTCAGTTGTTTTTGTAATAACCTCCTTTAACTTCTTAACGGTTTGACCGATTGTAACAAATTTGGTATCTTTGAAAAGAGCATTCCTTGGGCAACGAGAATCAATCACCAATGTGGTTGATTTAGTTGAATCCGAGGTTGAATCCTTCTCCGCCAGGGGGCTAGTTTTGATACTATGATCTAAAATCCTAAAAAAATCAAAAAAATCAAATGGAATGAGATGACTTTTTCTTTATGAAAAAATAGCCAAATAACACCCAAGGAGGCTAGTGAAAACCATTTTTCAAAATCTCGTTCCTAACCTCAAAGATTGGGAAAATGAGATTAATTTTATTAATTAATTAATTTTATTAATTAATTAATTAATTAAAATGCTTAAATTGTATCTTATTTGACGTATTTCCGGTATTTGTCGATGGCGCGAAAGATTGTTTGGAAAAAGACCCTGCACTTTTAGGTAGGCCTTGGAAAATTAAACAAATGAAACGCGATGCATTATAAAATAATAACAGCCGTAATTTGTAAATTATTCGGCTGTGTTTACATTCAGAAAGTGCAGTTTTTTGAATTTGTAATCTTTTCTAAAATCCAGATTTATAAGCAAGAAGTATTTAATATGCTGGCGGCGATGGTTCGTGGTCGATTTGGATAACGCAAATAGAAGATGTGGGCAGCGATGGTTGCATTTTGAAAATACTCAAAATATATCGCCAGCATATTAAATGCTTCTTGGTTAGAAATCGGCATTTTAAAAAAGATTTTGGGTTATAGTGTCAAAGCTACCCCCCTGGCGGAGAAGGATTCAACTAACTTAACTATATTTTGGTTGATTCTTATTGCCCAAGGAATGCTCTTTTCAATCATACCAAATTTGTTAAAATCGGTCAAACGGTTAAGAAATTAAAGCAAGTTAATGCAAAAACAATTGAACGCCCCACGCCATCTTTGTTTTTAAAATAACCGAGTTTTTGTTTTTACGAAAATGATAGATAAACTGGTTCTCTTTAAAAATTTTTTAGTTTATACGAAATCGAAAGAAAATGCAATTTTAAAATTTGAGATGGCAGTTACGCCCTCTGTTGGTCATTTTTCAGGGATTCTTCATGGCCCATTTACCCCTTAAGTCATATGACGAACGGTTCTCGAGATATGGCCAAGGAACAGTCTTATTGGGTCACCCGGTACACCCGATTTTGTATACGAATGCCTTTAGTGATGCCAAGTAAAACTTTTGGAAATGGGGATGAAGGGGAGGGGGCATACGTTCTACCCTTCATGGTATTCTAATTAAAGGTCTCAACGAAAGGAACGGTTTTCTACTAACTACCGCTCTTCTTTCTGACCGTTTATCAAAAAAGGGGTTGGAGGGGTGGGGGAGTGGAACTAGTTTTATCCTTCATGGTGCTCTAATGAAAGGTCTCAACGAAAGGAATTAATTTTTACCAACCGTAGTCCTCCTCGACCCCTTATAGTAATCGGGTATATTCCTTTATATCTCCAGAACCGATTTTCGGAAGAGGGTACTCACAAACGGCGATTGAGACGTCTGGAGGAAATACATCTATTGATGGCGATGTCAAAACTTTAAGAGCGAATATCTCGAGGGGGAAAGTACTCTCACAGGCAAAATGAATCGACTGGACGAGACATATCTATTGGCGAAATCGAAGCAAATAACGTTTGTTCAAATTTTCAAAGTTTAATTGCAGATTCGGCATTTTAATGTCCACCACGGTTAATTCGAAAAACTTGGTCACTTCTAGTAGGTACCCGATTTTTACACCTCAAACTTAAACACCTTGTATACAGAATTAACGAAATCAACGCACTAAGATCACGTGACTTCGGTGCCACTAAATTCACCATAGTTTTGGTTCACCAAGGGTGACAAAACCGTTCAGTTTTTTTTTGTGGCCGCGTCAAATCCTATTTATTTTCTAGGTTGGCGTTTATCCCCCTCGCCCCCAATTCAGGCGTTAGTCTTTATATAGACATTGAAAGTTTTCAAGTAGAAAGTTGAGGAATGTAAAATTGCACTTAAAAAACCATTACACGTGTCTTGCACTTTAAATGGTAATTGATAGACGTTACGTTTTCAACAAATCCGGCAATTCACTTATATAAGTCGCTCGTACGGAACGAAATGAACAGTTAACAGATTAACGGTGTCCCTTTTTCGATTTAATAATAAATGGCATCAGCCGGCCGCCCATTTTTCTGCTTTCTCATCGCGCAAACACGGGAACGTACTCGTCCGTAACGTCGAACGGTACAAACGCCCTGTATATATTGTTGTGACGTTTTACTTTCGTCCAATTGCTCCAGTATCGGTTTTTTTGTTGCAGATACAATGGGCATTACTAGCTGTTGACTGAAGGAACGATGACCGAATCGACGCCGATCTGCCGTTGTCGCGTCCTGTATTTGGGTAGCTCGGTTCCGCAACAGACCAAGGACGGTCTGCAGGGAATCCAGGAGCCGCTGCAGGAGCTGTACCCCGACGAGGGCGGCATCGGGGCGAGAGGCATCGACAGTTGGCTGAGCGTGTGGTCGAACGGAATACTTCTGGAGAACGTCGACGAGAATCACAAGAAGATTACGAGATTTTTCCCGATCGAAAGCTTACATTATTGCGCGGCCATCAGGTACGTAATAAGAGGTTTATGGTCGGTGAGCGCGGGTCCCTTCAAGGTGATCGCAATTACTTTAATAATATCGAATGACGACCGGTTTTAAGCGATAATTTGCGCTTTAATTAAAACGCGTACAGACAGTTATTTAAATAATTTTAATCCGAGTGTACACGCATCCAGGTGAATTCTGAGGGTCCGTTAACTTAGAACCGCCAGTTTGCGTTAGAATCTCTACAGCTAGCGCAGCAATCAAATGTACACGCTCTTCAACCGTCGCGAAACTAGCAGTTTCGTTTTCTTGTTGTCTAGTATTTAAAGAAACACCATTTCCACCATAAAATAAACTCCTTAAGAATTGTCAAATAAATCCCCAATCATGATGGAACGTCTCCACTTCTCCAACGTGAAGATTTCGTCTAACAATAGAACTTCTTATCGCAAACGACCAGATGTCACCTTTTATAAATCACGCAAATTTGACTAGATGTCTCTTACTTCTAGCACCTTATCTAAATTGAATAATTACAAAGCGATAATATTTAAACAAGAATTACGCATTTACAAACAAATCTTAAAGGAAAAACATAAACACTGAATACAAATTCAAATGAAACAAACCAACTCTGTTCTTATTTCGTAAATAATCCCCAGATTATTAAACCCCTCAGGTGCGACGTTTTCCCCAAACATGGTCATTAGAGTGCGAAAGGTTTTAAAACTATTAGGGGAAAACGTAACACCGAGGGGTCTGGGTAATATTCCTCAGGAAAGGAGCGTGTTTCATCGATGGCTAGTTTTCCCCCAGAAGTTTGAAGGGTCTTCTGCGCTATCAATCAGTTGTGTCGAAATGCCATCGGTTTCTCATTCCATGCCCCCCAGACTCCCCGGTGCTACGTTTCCCCCTCCGCGCTGCCAATCAGTTGTGACGAAATGCCATCGATCTTTCTTTTCCTGGAGGGGTATGATGCTCATTTTTGGGGAAATACGACGGCACTTGCTCCAAACGGGTGTCTCTTAAGAAATGATTATTAAAGCACGGAAGGCTTCCAAAATATTAGGGTAAAACGTAACACCGGGTGGCCAGGGAAGTATGGAATACCCCCCAGGGAAGGAGAAGTCCTTTTCTGGGAGCGCGTTTCACCGGTCTCTACTTTCCTAACCGCCCGATGCTACGTTATCCCACAGAACTTTTAGAGCCTTCCGCGCGATCAATCAGTCTTGAAAGTTTTGTAAGTTTTGAAAGTCTTGGAAAGTCTTGGATACTCTTGGAAGGCCTTGGAACGTCTTAGAAGACTTGGAAAGTCTCGGAAAGTCTCCGAAAGTCTCGGAAAGTCTTGAAAGTCTTGAAAATCTTGGAAAGTCTTGGAAGGCCTTGAAAGGTCTTGGAAGATCTTGGAACGTCTTGGAAAGTCTCGGAAAGTATTGGAAGGTTCTTGGAAGGTCTCGGAAAGCCTCGGAAGGTCTTGGAAAGCCCTGAAAGCTTTTGAAATTCTTTGAAGGCCTTGGAACGTCTTAGAAGGTCTTGGAAGGTCTCGGCAAGTCTCAGAAAGTTTCGGAAGGTCTTGAAAAGTCTTGGAAACTCTTGGAAGGACTTGGAACGTCTTAGAGGGTCTTGGAAAGTCTCGGAATGTCTCGGAAAGTTTCGCGAAGCCTTTGAAAGTCTTGAAAATCTTGGAAAGTCTTGTAAGGCCTTGAACGCTCTTGAAAGATCTTGGAAGGTCTTGGAAAGTCTCGGAAAGTATTGGAAAGTTCTTGGAAGGTCTCGGAAAGTCTCGGAAAACCTGGGAAGGTCTTGGTAAGCCTTGAAAGTCTTGGAACGTCTTGGAAAGTCTCGGAAAGTCTGGGAAGGTCTTTGAAAGTCTTGAAAATCTTGGAAAGTCTTGGGACGATTTGCAAAGTTTTGCATAGTCTTGCAAAATATTGAAAAGTCTTCAAAGTCTTAGAAAGTCTTGGAAAATCTTGAAAATCGTGGAAAGTCTTGGAAAGCGTTGATAGGTCTTGGAAGATCTTGGAAGGTCTTGGAAAGTCTCCGAAAGTCTTGGAAGGTCTCGGAAAGTCTCGGAAAGCTTGGGAAGGTCTTGGAAAGCCTTGGAAGTATTGGAAGGTCTTGAAAGGTCTTTGAAGGTTTTGGAAAGTCTTGGAAACTCTTGGAAGGACTTGGAACGTTTTAGAAGGTCTTGGAAAGTCTCGAAAGGTATCGGAAAGTCTCGCAAAGTCTCGCGAACCCTTGGAAAGTCTTGAAAATCTTGGAAAGTCTTGGAACTCTTGGAAGGCCTTGGAACGTCTTAGAAGGTCTTGGAAAGTCTCGTAAAGTCTCGGAAAGTCTTGCGAAGCCTTGGAAAGTCTTGAAAATCTTGGAAAGTCTTGGAAGGCCTTGAAAGGTCTTGGAAAGTCTCGGAAAGTCTTGGAAGGTTCTTGGAAGGTCTCGGAAAGTCCCGGAAAGCCTGAGAAAGTTTTGAAAGGGCTTGGAAAGTTTTTGAAAGTCTAAGTCTTGGAAAGTTTTGGAAGGTCTTGGAAAAGCTTGTAAAGTTTTTGAAAGTCTGTGAAAGGCTTGGAAAGTCTTGCATAGTCTTACAAAGTCTTGGAAAGTCTTGAAAAGTTTTGGAAAGTCTTAGATAGTTTTGGAAAGTCTTGAAAGGTCTTGGAAAGTCTCAGAGTCTTGGAAGGTTCTTGGAAGGTCTCGGAAAGTCTGGGAAGGCCTTGGAAAGTCTTGCAAAGTCGTGGAAAGTCTTGAAAAGTCTTTGAAAGTCTTGAAAAGTCTTTGAAAGTCTTGAAAAGTCTTTGAAAGTCTTGAAAAGTCTTTGAAAGTCTTGAAAATCTTTGAAAGTCATGGAAAGTCTTGGAAAGTCTTGGAAAGTCTTTGAAAATCTTGGAAAGTCTTGGAAAGTCTCGGAAAGCCTGGGAATGTCTCGGAAAGTCTCGCGAAGCCTTGGAAAGTCTTGAAAATCTTGGAAAGTCTTGGAAGGCCTTGAAAGGTCTTGGAAAGTCTCGGAAAGTCTTGGAACTCTTGGAAGGCCTTGGAACGTCTTAGAAGGTCTTGGAAACTCTCGTAAAGTCTCAGAAAGTCTCGGAAAGTCTCGCGAAGCCTTGGAAGTCTTGAAAAGGCTTGGAAAGTTTTTGAAAGTCTTAAGTCTTGGAAAGTCTTCAAAGTCTTGAAAGTCTTGGAAAGTTTTGGAAGGTCTTGGAAAAGCTTGGAAAGTTTTTGAAAGTCTGTGAAAGGCTTGGAAAGTCTTACAAAGTCTTGGAAAGTCTCCGAAAGTCTTGGAAGGTTCTTGGAGGGTCTCGGAAGGTCTGGGAAGGCCTTGGAAAGGCTTGCAAAGTCGTGAGAAGTCTTGAAAGTCTTTGAAAATCTTGGAAAGTTTTGGTAAGTCTTAGAAAGTTTTGAAAAGTCTCGGAAAGCCTGGGAAAGTCTTGGAAAGTCTTGCAAAGTTGTGGAAAGGCTTGGAAAGTTTTTGAAAGTCTTGGAAAATTTGGAAAGTCTTGGGACGTTTTGCAAAGTTTTGCATAATCTTGGAAAATCTTGAAAAGTCTTTGGAAGTTTTGGAAAGTCTTGGAAGCCCTTGGAAAGTCTTAGAACTCTTGGAAGGCCTTGGAACGTCTTAGAAGGTCGTGGAAAGTCTCGTAAAGTCTCAGAAAGTCTCGGAAAGTCTTGTAAGGTCTCGGAAAGCCTGGGAAGGTTTGAGAAGGTCTTGGAAAGTCTTGGAAAGGCTTGGAAAGTTTTTGAAAGTCCTAAGTCTTGGAAAGTTTTGGAAAGTCTTGAAAGTCTTGGACAGTTTCGGAAGGTCTCGGAAAGTTTTGCAAAGTCTCGGGAAGCCTTGGAAAGTCTTGAAAATTTTGGAAAGTCTTGGAATGCGTTGAAAGGTCTTGGAAGATCGTGGAAGGTCTTGGAAAGTCTTAGAACTCTTGGAAGGCCTTGGAACGTCGTAGAAGGTCTTGGAAAGTCTCGTAAAGTCTCAGAAAGTCTTGGAAGGTCTCGGAAAGTCTCGGAAAGTCTCGGAAAGCCTGGGAAGGTCTTGGAAAGTCTTGGAAAGTTTTTGAAAGTTTTAAGTCTTGGAAAGTTTTTGAAAGTCTTTGAAAGCCTTGGAAAGTCTTGCATAGTCTTGAAAAGTTTTGGAAAGTCTTGAAAAGTTTTGGAAAGTCTTAGAAAGTTTTGGAAAGTCTTGGAAGGACTTGGAAAGTGTCGGAAAGTCTGGGAAGGTCTAGGGAAGTCTTGCAAAGTCGTGGAAAGGCTTGGAAAGTTTTTGAAAGTCTTGCAAAGTCTTTGAAAGCCTTGGAAAATTTGGAAACTTTTGGAAAATTTGGAAAGTCTTGGGACGTTTTGCAAAGTTTTGCATAATCTTGGAAAATCTTGAAGTCTTTGAAAACCTTAGAAAGTCTTGGAAAATGAAAAGTCTTTGAAGGTCTTGGAAAGTCTTGGAAGGTCTTGGAAGGTCTGAGAAAGTCTTGAAAATCTGGGAAAGTCTTGGAAAGTTTTTGAAAGTCTTCAGTCTTGAAAATCTTGGAAAGTTTTGGAAAGATTTTGATAGTCTTCAAAGTGTTTGAAAGACTTGGAAAGTTTTGGAGGCTCTTGGAAAGTCGTGGAAAGCCTCGGAAGCTCTTGGAAAGTTTTCGAAAGTCTACCAAATGGCAAACCGGCATTTCCGAATAAACGCCAAAATATTAAAAAGGTGCCATTTATAAGCAACTGAGAGTTGAAGGGGGGGGGGCAAACGGCTTGAAAGAGCAGTTGAATTGCGAAGCCAACTCACAAAATAAGTCGATACGCCTCTCTCCCGGTCTTTTGCTGTGGCGTCCTTTACTTCTATGGCGCGGTGATGGGAGGGGAAGGGTCGAATACAGCACATGGCGGGTTCAAAGTGTCTCGCCGCCGCACGACTATCAATCGAGAAGTGCCCATCCCTGACGGCTACAGATTCCGAACGCACCGACCCCGTAGGGCGAATAATTTTTTGCTGCTGAATTACCCCTTTAGCGCTCACATTAATTCAAATGGGGAGATTGCGTTTTACGCA